TGACATCAGAGGGATGCTACGATCATTAATTTTGCAACAATATTAAGATACCCACTTGCTTCCTATTGCTTCTTAGGGAGAAGTGACTAAGCCAGTGGAAAAGTCAGCACAGAGGGGAGGATTCATTAGGGCCACCAAGTTTACATTGTTTCATTAGATTTGAATCATGATGCAATTTAATTAAATTTGGCAAAGCGTGTAGATGTTTTAGCCCTATGAATGTGCCCACTTGCATAGTGCATCTGAACTTAAGTAACTAATCTAGAAGAGAGAGACTTTTCTCCCACATTTCTCTCTCTTCTTACTCTTTTGCATTATATTTTCCTTGAAATGGTTGTAATATTCACAGGAGGACGATTCTTTTGTAAATGGCCTTTTATTGACTTTTTAACAATGCAGTTCCTATAGAATTTCTGATCTGTTGGGAGAGACTTGACGGAATCGGATTACCCATGTAGAGAAGGGCGGGAGGGAGAGACAGCAATTTCATAGTGTAAGGAAGTTGCCCACCGTTGATGGTTAAATCTTGATGAGGCATTTGCTTTACCAACTGTATCCAGTGCAACTCAGTAGGATGCGATGCCTAATTGCAGATGCAAAGGAAGGTTTTGTTTTATCTACTGCTGCCTTTTAATAATGGCATCGGCTGCTGTTTGACCTGTGCTATCCTGCAATTTTAATTTAAAACCACCTTGAATGTATTCATTCCTGCTTTGGGTAGGAAGTCTGATATTTGCATATACATGGAATTTATTTTTTGTTAAAAGAAATCTCGGATCCCCCTGCCTTTTCTGTATATTTGCCTCTCTGGTTTTGCAAGCAGTGTTTTTCTTTTCTTATAAGACAGGCATCAAAGTTTGCTAAGTCTCAATTGAAAAGTTCACTGTTGTTTAGTATCAAACAAAGAATAGTTTTGTTTTCCATATATCTGCAATATTAAGAATCAGAATATTAAAACATAATATTTTAAAGACAAGTTTTTGTGCCCATTTCCAGCAATGAGTATATGCGGCTTGTGAGGGAGTATTGCTTTTATTATTAATTGTATTGTCTGCTTTATGGTAGCCAACCATGTCGTTGACAAGGGCTGAATGTATCTTGATGGTGAAAATCATTGCCCCACGCCCAATGTAACCACCCAATTCAACTATTTACGGTACTTTCAGCCTTGTTACCCTTGCTGTTTGACCCATTTTTTACTCATGTGCTCCTAGAAGGCTAAAAACACAAGAGACTAAGGTGGCTTTCTTATACGATGTCTTGCAAGTTTTTTTTAAAAAAAATTTAGATCTTACTAGTGTGCCACATATACTCAGTATGTATGCTCTTTTCAAAGGCACACCTTAGATTTTCTGTATGTTAAAAATTGTCAAATAAGATCTTATCAAAATTACTGAACAACTTTTCCAATACATGTAAAATATCTTGAGTGTAGAGCTTTCCTCCTGCTGAATTATCTCCCTCATCTCCAAACTACCTAGTTATACTTGCTGTTTTTGCTTATTATTCTCCTGCCTGCTATATTCTTGATCCTCTCCAAACTGGTTTTTACACGTTCTGCTGAACAAAAAGTGTTAATACAAAAATTTCCAGTGCCCTTTGCATGGCCAAGTTGTGTTTGTCTAACTTCATTCCTCCTTTTCATTATCTCCAGGATTATAATTTCCATCTCCTGCTGGACTACGATAATCTCCCCTTTGCAAGTCTTTCCTAATGCCTTATCCACTCCTTCTAGTCAGTTCAGAACACTATCTAGAAGTCTGGAGCCAGATGCTGTTCACATGAGAGTTCTTTAAGAAATCAAATGTAAAATTGCTTAAAAGCCAGTGTTCTTACCATTGGAAGGGAAGATGCTGAATGTAACACTCCTTTTTAAAATGTCTTGGGTATATCCAACTAACCTCTGTCTCAGGTAAATTGGGAAAAAGTTTTATAAAAGGCAGAGTTATTTAACCTATAGGATAAGTCCTGCTGAGAGCTAAGTACTGGTTTGCAAAGGGAAATCTTGTTTTTCAACACATATAGAGAGGGACAATCCAGAATATATTTGTGTTCTTGGATTTTCCAAAAGCTTGACAAAGTCTCTCACCAAAAGCTTCTAAAGGTTATGGGATAAGAGACCAGCTTCTCTTATAGACTCGTTAAAAAATAGGAGGCAAAGAGCTACAACAGATAGACTATTTTCACAGTGGAGGAAAGTAAACAGTACAGGTCACTTAATTGCAAGTGAGATGTGTAGTGTGGTAGCCAGTTTGCAGATAACATCAATTTATTTCGGGCAGTGAAATGTTAAGCAAATTGAAAATAACCCAACGGGGGTTAAACTGGGTGACTGAAATGAGTGGATAAAATTTGGGGTTAAGTTGAGATTTGGCCCCTGTCATGATTCCCTCTCACGTCTCTTGATTCAGATCAGCACTTGAGGATGAGGACTAGGATATGGGAGGGAGGAATGGAACTATGCAGCACCACTTGATGAACACCCTCCCTGCCCTAGATACTCCCTTGACTTGTTGAGGCAGGAGACCCCACCCTCTCCTGCCCCACTGTCCCCCAGAACCAGGAGGGGATTGAAAAGGGATGAGTAGAGGAAGTTGCAGTCTCTCAATGTGTGCATGCATCCGGTACATGAACTGGGGAAGGGGGAGGAGTCCTCTGTTGCTGCAACTGCTCCATAGAGCACAGACCTGAGAATAGCTGCCTAGTTGCTAGATTGGTGTGCATAGCTATCCAGAGCTGCAGAAGCGACTGTGTTATCTTTGACAATAAAGAGTTAACTGTCTGCCATTTGCATTCCTGTGACTGGGAAGCACCCTTGACAGATCAGCTCTTTTATGCTACAGCAACTGTCTCTATGTAGGGGCTATGTGAATAAGGTCAGGAAAAGGGTACCCACAATAGCTGTAGTTTTCAGAAGATTACAGTCTACACCTACAGAGTTTATCATTCAAAGGTATTTATGATCCACTAAGACAATGAAGGGTAAATGTTGATAATATTTCTGTGCATCTGACAAGCACTTGAAATAGGTAAAAAAAAACCCACCCAAAAGTCATTTGACTATTATTCCGGTATACCCAGTGTTCTCGAAGCTACCAGCATGAGTTTGACCAAACTGTGGGAGGCAGTGGAATACAGGAGTGCCTGGCGTGCTCTGGTCCATGGGGTCACGAAGAGTCAGACATGACTAAACGACTAAACAACAACAACAACACCCATTTCTTAGAATTTTGTGTTACGGTTTAGCATCTGTTATATGGGTGCTAAGTTCCTAGTAAACATCTCAAAGTGATTTAAACATCAACAGTAAAAAACATATAAACCAATTTCATATGTAAAAACAATTAAAGCAATTTCATATCTCCGCTTAAAAGACTTGTTGAAATTCCATTACAGCCTAATGTCCTAAAACACAGACAACCAGTAAGGATTGTTGACTATAAATCCAGTAATTTTTAGCCTATAGCCATGCAGCGTACTATTGAAATATATTGGTAAATGATTACTTTATTCTTCAATGCCGTGTTAATATATAATCTATTGTTTGGGAGCCTTCATACTTTAGAGGTCTGTAGATCTACCAGCTCATTAACATAGCTGGATGTGGTTTTAATGAGTCTGTATTAAATTACTAATGTGCAGCCTCCTCCTGCTCCTTTTCTCTCCACTCTGACCTCTTAGCATCTATTTGCCAAGGAAAACAAAGACTGATTACTGCTTCCAATTCCTTTTGAATAGCTTCTTGCTGTTCATTATATATTGGACTGGAGATGCAATTTTCAGTTTAATCTCTCTGGTCTCCCCTCCCCAGCTTCTCTCTCTCACACACACCACCACAGATTCAACCTTTTCCTTAGCTTCATCTAGAAAGTCATCCCCTGCAAAAATAGCTAAGTGTTGCCCTAGCAGGAGCAAAGAACTGGAGAAGCAGGCAACAACTGGCAACACTTGTCCTGCCCGATGCACAGTTAAAAAAACCCCACAATGTAGATTAACTGTTCTGTAGTTTACATGGCCATGATCCTAAGGTTTTGAGGCTCCAGCACACTGCAGTAGCACAAGAGCACAAATATAGTCTGCTGAGTGCACTCCCTGCCTGCCCTTATGAGTTCCTCTGGAATGTCCATCAGACACCTGCTCCGCCTAATCATGGCTGTAGGGCTGTAGGGAGGAAGTTGACCAACAAATGGGGTAGGCGCCTGCTGATTAGGTAGCTGCCCATTTGCAAACCACAGTGCCATTGCTTTCCCACCTCTGGGAGCCAGCCTCTTACACTTTGAATGAGAGACTAAAGGGACGACAGAGCACCTTAGCTGCCTGGCCTTGTTGGTTGTAGCATGTATTTTATTTTATTTTTAAATGCTATTTCTAGTTTACCTTCTGAGATGGGTTGTGTTGCAACAGCAGATGTGAGAGGTGGTTTCAAAAGAATTGTTTGGGGCTTGGGAGCTCAGACCCTCAAGTATTTCGTTTGTGACCTTAAGCAAGACACTTCTCTTCTTCTAGTCCTGTACTTGCTTACAACACTGACTGGACAAAAGCCTGTGGAAGACATTTAACAATGCATGATGACACAGCATAGCCTTCTTTTTGGGTTCTCAGCATATGGTATTCAGATACAGAAAGAAGACAGTGCCTTTGATGTTCTCTTAGACTTTATGTTATGTTTCCATATCTGCAATGGGTAAGGGTTTTCTGGAAAGTCTTCTACATGCTTAATTCCTTGATCATATAATGCAAATCATGTGTGACCTTACATGTATTCTGTGGTATCCTTTGGTGTTTTTTCTTAGTTATCTGCTCTGCAAGTGGATTATTTTGTTTCTGATCATGGCACAGTTGTAGTCCATGCTGTTTACAGTAATTATATTTTTCTGAAACTGAGATGTTGGTGCTTGAATATAACCTTTCCCTGATCTTGCATATGCTCCAGAATTTCAAAATTTCAGGTGCTTTACAGTACAATCTGTTTTTTCCTCCCTCTTTCCCTTTTTCTGCAGGTGCTGTTAAGTCAAGTGCATCGGTTGCGAGCTCTTGATTTACTGGGACGATTTTTGGACCTAGGTCCCTGGGCTGTTAGCCTGGTAGGTACCTATTATGGCCATCTTTTTGGAAAATGAAAGATGCTGGCTATATAATTAGCATGTATGAGTGAAGAATTCATCCTTACAGGTTATAAAAAAATAATGTCTCACAAATTTGAAGAACTGGACACTAGTTTTCAGGAGTTGTATGACCCTGAGGTGAACATAAATCAGGCTTCCAGAGCTTCGGGTGGCTATAGAACTGATGAGAATTCCTGTATTTGTAGTACACATTAGCTGAAGATGGCAATCCCATCCTTGTTTGGCCTCTCCAATTTCATCTGAGGCTACGGATAGTGATAATAAGAGAGGCAATGTGAATGTTTATACAGTTTTTTATGGACATGTTGGATTTATTGAACAAGCTGCCTGAGTAAAATGAAAATAAACTAGATCCTTCCCCAGCTGTTGTAAATTTTATACATACTTCAAACATGGCCTACCTGGACCTTAAATGAGAGAAAAAAATGGGTCAAAAACATGAGAGGATTTGAACTATGTATGGCTTGTGCACAAGCCATTGGTGGAGTAACTATGTACAAGTAAAAGTAAAAACTTAAATTAAAATGAGAGAAAGCAAAGAAATGGAGCACTGTATCCATTAGAAATAACCAAGAAGAGTCAAATGAGAGATGTGGAGAGCAATGCATTGTAAGCACGTTGTGCACTGAGTGAAATGTGGTTTTAAATTAAGTCTCAGTTTTGGCAATCCAGATGAGATTGAAAAAAGCAGCTGATATCCTTGAATAAAACTGACCTGAAACAAATATGCTGAAATTATGTCTTTAGCATGATCATTGTGATTCATTGTCAGGCATTTGCCATGCTTTTAAAGTTTGTGCTGGGTTCACCTACTCCACACTTCCTAAGTTTATTTTTGGTTCTCAAATTCTCTTCCTCTAGGCTCTGTCTGTTGGCATTTTCCCTTATGTGCTAAAGCTTCTCCAGAGTTCTGCTCGAGAGCTAAGACCTCTTCTGGTCTTCATCTGGGCCAAAATCCTTGCAGTAGACAGTGTGAGTAACCATGAAATGTTAATTTAGTGATGATGCAGAATATGTTAAAAGGGCTGTCTTGATTCATTGCAGAGCCAACACGTGAGATAACTTGTTCATGCTTAGGAATGTCATTAGTATGAGAGACTTGCCCAAAGGGAATTAATGTGGAACCATGAGCAAGTTGGATTTAGGAGTGCATGCAATCTGCAGGCCATTGACGAGGGACCTAGCCAGCTCCTGCAATTTGTGGAATACCCTTCCCAGGAATGCTTACCTGGCACCTTTAGACTCCAGGAGAAAAAGTATCTCTTCAACCAGGCAGTCGACTGATTAACATTCTATGGCTTATTAAATGCATTGTGGGAGGTGGGTTATTGGGTGGTGGGGTTGTTAATAATACCCCACCCATCTGGTTGGGTTTCTCCAGCCACTCTGGGCAGCTTACAGCATATACAAAAACATAATAAAAGATCAAACATTAAAAACCTCCCAATACAGGGCTGCCTTCAGATGTCTTCATGTAGCTCTCCCAGTCTGTCTGTCTGACCATCTACATTGAAGCCATTTGGGATTTACTGGAACTTACTGGTAGATCCTGCTATTAAAAGCTCAATGGTCATTTTGTGTGTTGACTCTGTATGTCTATGTCTGTCTCACTTCCTAGTCTCATTTTTAATTCACCTAAAGGTATATCAGCTTGCATTGTGCATAAAGGTAATTGCAGACAGAAATGATTAACCAATATAAGTATTACAACATCAAAACTAGATATTTTTTTACAAGCCTGACATTTACAGTATTTGTGTTGACTTAAGTATTTTGATTGCCTTTGCTGATTAATGCTTTAAGCACAAGCAGGAGGAAAGAGCCATGATCACGCGCTGGCATCCTTTCCTGCTGATCCAGAGTTATGTTTAGTGTTATTAAATATATTTTGGATAATGTTTTAAGAGGATTTTGGACTGCAAAGAAAATGAAAAGTAATCTTCAAGCTGTTCTGTGGAAGAAAAAGCTCTTTTTTGATACATGTTTTTGTTTGGCTGGAGATACAAGCCTCCATGTATAATTCAGAATAAGAACATATTCACCGAATCTGGCACATGGCACCGTGGAGGCCAATATGCCAATGAAATTGTTGTCAGGGAGTACAGAACACATTCCCGTCTTTAAAAGATAAGGCCGGATGTAGCCTTCCAGCTTAGACTGAAGTACATGCTTTAGAGTGCCAGAGATGTAAATCCTTTAGAGTTTAGACCTCATTTATGCATTATGCTTTCTATGATCCAGCATTCTGCAGCAATTCTGGGATTTTGAGACAGGAAGCCCTTTCCATGTTTTGTTCACTTCCACTGGATATAATATCTTAGGCTGGGAAACATTTGTACTTTTTCCTCCTTTATCATTTGTGAAACATCATCTCATGTTCACACACCATCCCCCCCTCCCATTAACCATAAGTATAATAGCAAACGTTGGGGGAATGTCCATCACAAAAGGATTCCCTGTCAACCTGTGATCCCTAAAGGTGACAATGCCCAACCGTTTCTTTCTCCGATCCCTTAATGGGGAATTTAACATAAAAATGAAGGCATAGAAGCATTTGTGTTTGCAGTGTATATCCAAAATCCATTACATATTAGATTTCCATGACTGTCCGTCATAGTGTGACAAAGAATGAAATGCAGTGTGTTAAAAGTAGAGGAGGGGGCTGGGAGGGGCATAGGACACGGTCTGTTGCCCAACAGCCCAGTAGCAATTATCCCTTAAGGTTTAGGCTCTTATGGGTATGTTTCTTGCATGGCCATGGCATTCCAGAGCTAGTCATTTTGCAAGATTTATGTCAGGTAACAATGTCTGCAGGGGAATGTCCTTTGAATGTAAGTGAAAGCATTATCCCAGCTGCTGTAGGCAATCATGAGAAGCTGTTGTTTTGGTGTGTTGACTGAAAGATAGATGTAGTGATTAATTGTTCAGCTGCAGTGAATCACATCTGTGCGACAGAAGAAAAAGAAGGTAGAAAGTGGAGGAAAGCTAAAAGTGTATTTCTGTGCAGTGTAGTGGCTAAGCTATGAACTGTGCCTCGGCCGTGAACTTGCTCGGTGACCTTAGGCAAATCACTATCTCTCAGCCTCAGTCCCACCTTCTGCAATATGGAAGACAGCAATGCTGACTTTCCTTATGGGCTTGTTGTACGGATCACAACTAGATTACATGTGAAAGCACTTGGAACAGTTGAAATACTTTTAAAATATCAGTGAGGTTTTAGTAGTAGTGGGTTGCTAGACAGAACTACCAGGTTAACATAATCCTTTTCAGATTGTACAGCATATACTTAATTTCACATGGTTGTACCTCAGGGCCCAGCTAATGTTTTTGGGAATACCTGGATAGCTCAGTTGGTTATAGCATGGTGCTGATAACACCAAGGTTGCAGGTTCGATCCCCATACGGGACAGCTGCATTTTTCTGCATTGCAGGGGTCTGAATTAGATCAGCCTCAAGGTCTCTTTCAACTCTACCATTCTATGATTCTTTCATTCTGGTCCTGCAGAATTTCTAAAGCTAAGTAATCGAGATTGGAGGCCTATATGAGAACAGGATTTAATAAAAATCATGTTTAAAACAGACTTTGAGTTCAAATGTTTCCCTGGTTCTGATTCAATTAGAGGTGTTGTTTTTCATGTTCTCTTCAGCGCATATGCTATGGGGCAGCTTTATGGTCTGGAGCACTGATCCCTGGATTATGGCTTGGTTGAACACTCTATGTATACTGTTGGACCATTGAAGACTCAGTGTAGTCTACTTACTCATTCTTCCAACTAGCTTTTCTCTTACATTCTTCTGAACAGAAAAATATTATGCACTTCATGGTTTTGTCTGTAGGATGAACAAAGAACTAAAAGATCAGAAAAAGAGGAGTGAGAGGATGCCACAAGTATGCATGAGTGTGTGTTATATTGGAAAGCTTGGTTTTGGACTGTGTCTAGTTAGTGCCTTTCCTTTTTTAAAAAGATTGTTTAAGTTTTGACTGTGCAGAATGAGCAAAGTGGCAAAGCCAGCAGGAGTTGTATCTTTTTAAAAAACTGTCTATGGGCACTTTGTGTGGACATCTTTTGTTTCTATATCCACTTTAGTGTTTGAATACTTGGTTTGGTGCTGCAGTATTCATAGTATTCATGTTTAGTTGTGTTGTGTTGTGTTGTGTTGTGTTTTGCAACTAGACATACTGGATAATGTCCATCTAGACACACACATAGTAGGCAACAGAAGCAGAAGGCCTGCCAACCCTCTTGAGCAAATATGGGCACAGCTATTGTTGACATGGGGGGCATTTGGGGGTAGTGTATTGACACAGTGTTGTAATATGACTCTTCAACCATATGGGAACATAGGAAGCTGCTGTATATTGAGTCAGACCAGTGATCCATCTTGTTTAGTATTGTCTACACTGATTGGCAGTGGCTCTTCAGGTTTCAGGTAGAAGTCTTTCCCAGCCCTATCTAGAGATGCTGGGGATTGAACCTGGGGCCTCAGCTGTTCCATCACAGAGCTATGGCCCTTCCCCTAGGACAGGCACAGGCAAACTCAGCCCTCCAGATGTTTTGTGACTACAACTCCCATCATCCCTAGCTAATAGGACCAGTGGTCATGGATGATGGGAGTTGTGGTCCCGAAACATATGGAGTGCCGAGTTTCCCTTTGCCTGCCCTAGGATGTTGGGGATTAAAGTAAGATGTCCAGAAGGAAAGAAGCCTATGCTGTTGGGCTTCATCTCTATGTATACTATTCAGCCAGTGCAAACCCAATGAATGACTGTTGAAGCAGTGGTTTTAGGAGTGCACATAATCTCCAGGCCATTGAAGAGGGACCTACAGTTTGTAGAGGGAGGCTTGCGTGGGGCCTTTGTTACATATTTTTAGGCTCCAGGTGAAAAAGTTTCTCTTCAACCAAGCATTTGGCTGATTAACATTCTATGGCTTTTTAAATGTGTTTGTGGGAGGTGGGTTATTGGTTTTGTTTGGTTTTTGTTTTATTGTGTATTTTGTATTCTCATTTTGTATTTTTCTGTTGGGAGCCTCCCTGGGATCTTTGGATGAAGCGCTGTGTACAAATTTAATAAATATTAATAAAATAATAATAATTTGTATTGTGGGGACTTTTGCTAGGCCAATTTTTACTGGGAATATTAATGAGCTGGGGGGGGGGAATCTTGAATGAAATTTCCCTTGACCATCCTTTGGGAGTAATCATGTGATGTGCCAATCATTAAGTCATTGTAAAGGTATGTTAGATCAAGTAATGAACATGTATTAACATCAGGTTTAGATTGGGTGGATAATACATTTTTAAATTCCCAATAGTATTCATTCATAACTTTCCTACATAATCAGAATGTTTGGGCAGCTGAAATCAGACCACTGGATCTTCCAGCTCTCCTGTTTTTGTTTTAAGAATTCTTTCTTAAGGCCATAGATAGACAAATATAAACAATATCCTTTGCTAGCCTGCAGGCACTGGAATTAAGGAGTTGTAACTTAGAACTGTGATCACCTCATTAATGATAGTATAATTGACCATCACCATCCAGCTCCTGACAGTACATAAGTTAACTAGTGTTAATTTAAACTCCATGTAATAATGGTGCCAGTGGGATGCTTATTGTAGAGATAGAAATAACCACATTAGTAAAAGAGCAACTGCTCAGTATTTTACTGCATTAATGTCAATGCCCATTTAAATAAGTATACTGAGGTCTTCAAAAGGGAAGATGGTGACTCTTTAACCTGTGTAATAATGTACTACTGAAAAATCCCACTAGTAGAATTTTAGGGAAGAGTGAGATCTTGTGACCAAACAAAATGTTCCCAACACCCCTTTATTTTAGATTGTGCCCTTCAATGATGAATCTAGCATCTTATACTTGAGCTTAAGTGGGTATGTGTCACCCTCAGATTTGTGTTTTAGCATCACAAGGTTCATATTTTTTCTTCCCTGCTGAGGGAGGAAATATGCAGCTGATAATGAAAGCCCATTGTTACCTGCCCTCTTCTGCATGCAGAGAGGACTTTAATTGCTCACAGATATTGGCAGTTCATACCACCTTCATAGCAAGCTTGCCACCATTCTGTTTTTACTGGTATGTCACGATTCCTTGAAGGAGGGAGATGCCATTGATGCTGATGTACATTCAGTATCCCCCCCCCCCCCAGGTATCATATTGAGAGTACAGATTAATGCTCAATGTTATCACCAGAGTCTTCCACTGCAGGGTCTGTTTTCCTCAGGCAGGCAGAATACTGGTGGAATCTGGTGGAGGTAGTAACCAGTTTCTGGACAAATAGTGGCCACTTACCTAATTGGCATCAGTATTAAAGAGAGCCCAAAATAACCATTCATTGGAAGCAGCAAGCCCCACTCCCACCCCCAGCAAGAGTTAAGCCTGCTTATACATACAGCTTGGCTTCAGTCATTTTCTCCTACTTTGCAGCTGTCTGCAACAAGCAGCTTTAGTTACCTGAACAGTGTAGTTATTCTCTTGAATCTTTGTCTCTCCCACCTGCTTTGTTTGACCCCCACCCTTCTTGCATTTTCAATCAGGAATAAAGAATGGTTACTATTTTCCCACCTGGTGTTTAGCATCTTGCAGAACTCGCTGGAGAGAGTTCAAAGCAAAGTCAGCTTCCTTCCTTTCTCTTCTCTCTACCTATTGTCACTTTAGTCTTTCATATAAATGTATGTATGTATGTGTGTGGTGTGTTCATTCATCCTCTTTTTCTGGCCTTAATATGTCATCCCCAATGCTTATCCTGGCATGCAAGTGCACAATGTTTCAAGAAGCAGTTGCTAATGAGCCTTATTAGCACTAAAAGCCAGCCTGCTTGATTCTCATCTAATTGGCATCCAATATGAAACGTGGGGAAATCTCACTTTCAAAGGGAATTATTCTCTTATCAGGAGAGTTGGGCTATGTCATTTCCTTATTATCAGACACAGCAAAATGCTGTGAAACATTCATTTATACTGGAAATGAATAAAAGGGGTTGAATCAGGGACGCCATCTGTGGGGGGGAGCTTAACCTGTTTCCCACCATGCCAACACCAGTCATTAAAAATCAAACCTTCTCCTAGCAACATTGGGCCATCCTAACTTATGTTTCTTGGTCACAGTATAAAAGGATTTTAGGTCCATCCCTGTGTATTAGGCCAAAACACATGCTATCAGGTTTAGTTCAGTCTCTAGAAGATTGTATGCTGCTTCTGTGTCCTTGATCCTGAAGTTCCTCTCCATATTTTGTCATTTCTTTCCTGTATGCCTTTCTCCTCCTGGAGTTTATCCAAGACACAACCCTGCCATGATTTGACATTTGTGTTTTTGCAGCCATTGCTTCAACTTCACTCTGTAAATTAGCATTTTGTTGACGTTGGCTCGGCTTGCTTTTGAGATGATTTTTGTCTGGCAATAGGTCCCAGCTTAACAGTTTCATCTCATAGCTACAACACCATGCTTCTCAACCTAGTGGCCTTTAGGGGACCAAACATGAGTTTGAAGACTTTTTATTAGGGACTTGTGCCCTTTTCTCATTTCCTCCACATTTTTCTACACAGTAGAACATTTGGAATAATTAGCATTGAGGAACATGCTGTAGAAAGGTTACGTTTGGATTGGTCATCTCACTTGATATTTCACAAAGGGTCTGTGAACAGAGCAGAACATCTGCAAGATCTGTGTTACGGTGAGAGGCGTATGCAGAGGGGAGCAACATCTGCGTATCACTGATGCATGTGCATCTTCCAGACAGCTTTTTCTGAGTTTTCAGAAGAGACCAAGTTTCTTTAAGCAGAGTTTTGTGACATATCCATCTCAAATTGCCTCATCAGATACCGAGAACAGAGAAGAATGCCAATGCCAAATGAGCCACCTGGTTCCCAAGGTAGCTGCTGAAAGGGAAAGTTTAAAGTCACTCCCTTTCTCCCCATGGCTGTGTTTAGCATAAAAGTCAAAGGAAGCATAAAAGAAACAGGAAGACCCCAAATTTTGTCAGTTACAGAATAAGTATAGTTATGTAGTCTGGGAGATGTCGCTTCTTTCTACACCTGGCTTGCAGATGGCTGTACTCCCAGTACATTGCTTAGGCGGAATGAGCCAAAGCTGAGTTGTTATCTGTATAACTGGCTTCCTGATTATTGCTTTCAAGGACTCTCTGTACACGTGCAATTGATGAACTAAATGGAAATCATTCGAAGACTAAAAATAAATTATCTTCAGTTTATTGCTCTCTCTCCCCCCACCCTATCTGTCTTGTTTTTCAGTCATGCCAAGCCGACCTTGTGAAGGACAATGGTCACAAATATTTCCTTTCTGTTTTGGCAGATCCCTACATGCCGGTAAGGTCAAATAATCAGTCTTCACCACCATTCACCATCCCACCTCTCTGATTAGAACTTATGCTGATTCATGTGCTGCACCTATGAGGCAGCCATGCTGTTGATGGCCATTTTCATTATTTCATTTAATTTGGATTGTTAAATTAAGGAGACCTTTGAGAACCCTCAGTGTCAAAAGAGGCAAGTTCCAGCAGGAAGGATCTTTTTAAAAATAATAATAATAAAAATATTTACCTTGAAATATTCACTTATTATTTTATCTAATCCTCAATCTTTTGTGTGTGTTTTCAGGCTGAACATAGGACGATGACAGCTTTTATCCTGGCAGTGATTGTCAACAACTACAATACCGGGCAGGTGAGTAAAAGTTGAGGAATGGTGTGGATGGCTCTACATCTGACCTCATTAATAATCTTGAATAAAAATGTTAGGGACCTTACCCCATGCATCTATGCTGCTCTAAAAGAGTTGTTTTCCTTAGAATTGTTTTATTGGCAAATAATGCGTTAAAATATCATGCTCTGCCCTTTGTTATAGGAAGCCTGTCTTCAAGGGAACTTGATTGCCATTTGCCTGGAGCAGCTCAATGATCCACATCCTCTTCTGCGCCAATGGGTGGCTATTTGCTTGGGGCGAATTTGGCAGAATTTTGACTCTGCAAGGTGGTGCGGTGTGAGGGACAGTGCCCATGAAAAGCTCTACAGCCTTCTCTCTGATCCAATCCCAGAGGTAATACAGCATCCAGTGGAGAGAGTGGTTTATGTGCTTGCCTTAGCTACCCAAAACAACTTCCCTATATTACTTGATCTGATCAGGGTACACAACACTAAACTTTGAAAGTATTCTTTCATTTTAAAAAAACCAAAAACTATTGATGAAAGTATTTCTATACCAACATATAACATATGTGGGCAAGTGTACAGCAATTAAATATAAAACACCTTTTAAAACAATTCAAATAACCATTAAAGTGGCTGGCTAATGAAACAGCTGCAAAGGCTGTTTAATTTATGAAGATCTTAACTAATAAGGCATGAACATGATTAAAAGAAATCTTAGTCAATTAATTTCATGAGTTTTGAGTGATTTATCTAGTAATTAATTCTATATATGGGTAAAAATAGTAATTCTGAAGGAAGCTTTCTTCATTGTTGCAGGTGTCATATTTTAATATACGTTCCCTTCTATGTAAGAGAAAAGACAGAATGCCTCTTTTAAAAGAGCACTCACCACTTGTAGTTTTTATGAATACTTGTATTAGGCAACATCCAGTGATGTCTGCCTTCTTATGCAATGGAAATCTGTTGGTGCAATAGAACCGCTGGTCTTTGTCTCCCTGTACATGCCCAAAATCCACTCCAAAGGATTTCTCAGTTTTCTGGAGCTGATTTTGCAGATTGGGGGGACTGTAAGGTGAAAGAGAAGGAAAAGCCCATGAATACCTGTCCAGTTAATTTATTTGATTAAAGCTTATACTAACTGATTATTAACTATTGCAGGCCTGGGTGGTGCTGTGGGTTAAACCACAGAGCCTAGGACTTGCCGATCAGAAGGTCGGCGGTTCGAATCCCCGCAACGGGGTGAGCTCCCGTTGTTCGGTCCCTGCTCCTGCCAACCTAGCAGTTCAAAAGCACGTCAAAGTGCAAGTGGATAAATAGGTACCGCTCCGGTGGGAAGGTAAACGACGTTTCCGTGCGCTGCTTTGGTTCTCCAGAAGCGGCTTAGTCATGCTGGCCACATGACCCGGAAGCTGTACACTGGCTCCCTCGGCCAATAAAGCGAGATGAGCGCCGCAACCCCAGAGTCGGGCACGACTGGACCCAATGGTCAGGGGTCCCTTTACCTTTAATCTGTTAACTATTGCAGTTTTCAGCTGATGTGTTGAGGGACTACTGGCCATGTAAAAAAAACATAGCTCTCATATGTCTACATTTACTTACTAGATGTGTCCTTAATGTTGGGAGTCCTTTCCAATAGGATGGATATGTTCTCTTATGACATCTTTGCACTAAAACATGCAAGTGACAAAGTGTATGCTAAGAGTTGGACAGAGATTATTTATGTTTCTTTTTCAGGTTCGCTGTGCTGCAGTCTTTGCCCTTGGCACCTTTGTAGGCAATTCGGCTGAGCGGACAGATCATTCTACCACTATTGATCACAACGTTGCCATGATGCTGGCTCAGCTCATCAATGATGGAAGTCCCATGGTCCGAAAGGTATAACATGGGGTTGGGAGGGATAGGTGCTGGAGCCCCTGTGTTGCTGCTCAGCTTGTTAGTCCTGTCTGAACTGACTTTTATAGTTCATTGCAGCTGTTCAAAACTTTGATTTACTGAAAACAGGGAAAACCCATAGCTCAGTGATAATGTGCATCCTTCGCATGCAGAATGTTCCAGTTTTAACCTCCAGCCTGTTCCAGTTAGCAGAGCTGTGGGTCTCACTGCCTGAGACCTAAGAGAACCTCTGACAGTCAGAGTAAACAATACTGGACTAAATGGACCAATGGCCAGATTCCTTATTCAGCAGCTTCATCATATGTTTATATGATCTGTTCAGACTGTCCCTTGGCAATTTGTGCTTAGGTTTCCTTTTTCCTCCCTTGAGCAGGTCATGAACATGTGAGGGCCCTGAATGACAACAGCTTTAAAACATTACAAGGTGAATCCTTGCGCCCATGACTATTGCCAAACATTAAATGGCAAAAGACGCATAGTCTTCAGAAATAGCCCAATAACTATTTCATGTTGAAGAGAAAACCCAGGTTAAAATATAAGATCAGCTGTGGACTCACTGTAAGCCTTAGTTTGATAACATGGAAATAATAGTGGCATGCCTTCGAGATAAATTATTTTAGCTTCAAAGTGCTGTGTTAATTGCAAACAATAAAAAAGTATTGCTGAGTTTCCCCCCTTTCTCATTAGAAATTCCATAGGGATTCTTCAGGTCAGGGGAAACTACTTAATGTCTGTTTTATTGAAATACAATTCTAAAACCAGGCATTTGAGTTGTTTCTGTACAGTGTATTGTAATCGCAGGGTAATTTAGGATTCCCAGATGTCTAAATCTAGCCCTCTTATTCCACAACATGATGGGTGTCCATCCGGTATGGACTCTGCAGAAAAAGAGCACCATTATAAGACCTTAACTCTGAAATTCTGTTCTGGCAGCATTACGCAATAAAGAAAACATGGCATGTCCGCAAACTGGCACTCTCTAGGCCATTATTTGAGAGATTCATGAGGATGAATATGCATACTTTGTGTACATGTGGTAGTGGCAATGGCTATCCGTCCTAAAATGTGCTTTGTTTTTTGGAATTGGCTTTTGTTCGTGGTGTACAGCTTTCGCACACTGCTGCTTCTGCAGGCAAGTCTTCTTAGATCTTTGTGCCAGTAGAATCCTTACAGTAAATTGATAACACAGCAGGCTTCCCATTTTACCTCCCACGTGGCCACTTCTCATTGGTTTCTCCTTGTTTTAACATCTTGTCTTCATCAGAATGGTTTGAGGGGGGGTAGTTAGCCAATGTGAATCTTTGGCTGCTGAGACTGCTTCATCATATGTAAGCAAGTGCCATTTCCTCAATGCGAGAAACAGGGAAAGTTTTTGCACTCCTGCAGGTCATACTGGCTCTCTGTTTGTTGGCGATTTCTTTGAATCACAAGCCCTGTCGTGTCAATCGTTTTGTCTCTCCGTTTCCTGAGAGGCTTACGTAAATTTCAGTTTGCACTCGCCTTTCTGTTTTCAGCCTGAAGAATAACATTGTTCTGCTTTTCTCCCTGTCCTGGGGGAAATAAAATTAACTTCATCACCCAGAGTGTGATAAAGAACACTTGCTGCAAGAGGTGGTATAGGGTCAGTGGGGGGAGTTGACCTTGAATTGAGGGCTTACACGCCATGGATCCCTTTACCATCACAGCTCCCGGGGGCCATCACTCTGAAACACAAAATGCTTTTTCTTGTCTGACCTGAACGTCAGGCTGCTTCATTTTGCCCAGTGGGGCCAGGCATGAGGCCTTTATCAATATGGCATTTCATTTGCTGTACAGTATGAGAAATCCCTTTGCAACAGAAAAAGGGCATTGCATAACAAAATAATGAAAGACCAGGCATTAGAAAAGGATTATTTTAGACCTGGCACCATATCCATCATTGAAAAGTGTGCTGCTGAATGCCAAAGGAAAGTGATATCTGTCAGCAGAGAGCTGTCAGGCTTGTATGTCACTACTTTCATTTTGGAGCTGCTGCATAAAAAAAAAAAGAGGACAGGGAAATGAGATTAGCTGTCCTGGCCTCTCTCTCCAAGACCTCAACACTTTGCAGAATTTCTTGATGCTCTTGCTACTTCCTCCCGAAACAGAAGCCACGTTTTGTCTCTGTAGTCCTTTCCTATTTATCACCCTTTTGATAGCAGAGTCTTACATTACAATCTACCAAATTAAATATGAAATATTAATTTGTTACTGGAAACAAGAAGTATGTGGCAGCCCTCCAAGAGGAAGAAGGATGAGTTTTGCAAGTGCAAGAGCGAACCGGACAGTTCTATTCAGCAAAGAGCTTTCCATAATGGATTGGTGAGGAGAGGGCTGAGATGAAACAATAGTCCCTTGAAGATTGTTTTTTCTAACCTCCCACTTTAGAGCAGTAGCACATCAGTCACTTGATAGCACTGAGAAGCATTGTGACCAGAGCTTCCTGCCTAGTCTTGTCAAATTTATCATAGGCAAAATGCATTTCATCTTTTCTAGCCTCAGTTTGGGTAAATAGGACATTAGTAGTACTGTGTAGGGCTATTAAGAAAATGCCTTGGTAAGTTTCTGATCCTTCTGCACAAATGACTAAGCAACAATAAGAAGAGACTTTGATAGAATAAACAAAATTCTGTGCTAGTCTTGCAGAATTCAGGATTTCCCACCAAGAAATCTTTGCCTTTTTCACAGAAAATAAGTAGCAGGTTGTGTTCCCCCTTTCTGCTTGCCCAGTGTCAGATTTAATTTCTTTTTTGAGCTGACTGTGAACCACTGTGAACAGTTATGCATTTCTAACAGGGCATCATGCTATTTCTGTAACTCTTGGAATCATCATAGAAAAGGTTGGCAAGGCTTTACGGTCTGGACCATGACCCAGGAGGTCACACAAGAACCTTGCCTTTTTTATGATTCATTATGTCCTACAGAGGAGCTTGAATGGACCAGAGAAGAATGGCACAATGTTCTCCCTTCCCCTTCAGTTCTTCCAGTAGCAGTAGATCAGTTTGACAATTCTTGGCTGCATCAAAAAGTAAAGAGTAGCCAATAATGAAAGATCTTTCATTGCAAAGAATTCACTTTGGAGTCAAATGTTCCAGCTTTCTTAAGATCGTCACACTAAAGTGAAGGAAAAATCAATGCTTCACAAAGCCAAGTATAAAACGTGCCCTCGTCCCCACTTGAGGTGACAAATGGGTATTAATTTTGTCAGAAGGCTGCTTTCACAGGGACTTGATTCTGTTGCTTGCTTTATTTAAAGTTGCTCACAAAATAGAGCTCCAGGTATAGGTATATAAATTCAATAAATAATAATAAAATAATAATAATAATATAGAATTTTTCCTCTGCATTTTCACAAAAGGGAACTTTGTAAAGTACTGCTATATGCTATTTTGAGGATTAATAATATTTGCTGTTGGTACTTTAAAGTCAAAATGTTCAACCCAATGAATGATTGCAGGAGGGATGGGGAGCCTGTCACAGCCCAGATGTTGTTGGATTCCAATTCCTATCAGTCCCACCAGTAAAGCCAATGGTCAGGGATGGCAGGAGTCGTAGTAACAGGTCCTCCTTCCTGCTTTACAAGATACACTGAGGTGTGAACAGAATGCTTCAATAGCACTCTTGCTCCTGGACTTGCTAGGTTAAATTCAGAAATATATTGGCTTAACCTTAGAATTTGGAGTGGAGATTACTGCATCAATTTGTTTATTTGCCTTCAAGACCCGAAACATTGTTCTTTGAGTAGTCCTGGAACTTTGACTTGCAGATGGGTGTCTGCTTTTCCTTTATATATTATCAGGTGAATGATATCTTCCCTGTTGTTTTTTTCCAGTGATTCGAGTTCTTTGCTGTCAGTTATTTCACATGCACACAGTGTTCAGAAGTCTGTTTTTCCTCCATTGCCCTCTCCCTAGGAGTTGGTGGTTGCACTGAGTCACCTTGTGGTCCAGTATGAAAGCAATTTCTGCACTGTTGCCTTGCAGTTTATGGAAGAAGAAAAGAACTATGCACTGCCATCACCAGCTGCTCCAGGTAATACATCATTTTCTTTATTAAAAAATTATAAAACTGTAGAAGGTAATTCTATGAGGGAGGGCAGTTTATTGGCTAAATCACATATTTTTGGCAACCCTTCCCCCCCAAAAAACTGATTTTGTGTGTGAAGGTCAAATGAGGGCTTCATATTGGCTCCATTCGCACATCATGGTAGATTAAAGATTTATTGTGGAAGGACAAATAGTTCCCACTTCACTGCTCCCCTAGCACAAGCAGGAGCAACAAACCACAGTCCCTGCTCTAGCATCACATCCAAACGAGGAGTCATGGTTTGTTTTATTCTAAGCAAACTTTGATATGAAGCTAGGGTTTATTCTTGCTGTGACATGTGGACTGGGTCAGTGTTTTCTATCGCTTCTCCTCTTCTTTTCCTCCTCTTTGTACGTTCTTCTTAATTTGGGAAATACAGAAATCTGGATAAATTGTTGCTGGCCTTTTATCTCGTGAAATGTCATCTTAAATATTAAATATCCTGGATAATCTCTGGGGACTTGGGAACCTCTCCTGTCAGATAATTTAGATGAAAATACAGTTGTCTCCCTGCAATGAGTAATTCAATAGCGCCTTTGTCTGAAAGAGTGGATTATATTAAAAAATATGAAAACCTACTCTCCCATTCCCTTGTCTTTCTTGTTGCTGTTGAATAAAATAATAACGTGTTTACTCAGGATAAATTAAAGCTGTTATGTAAATAAAATGCACAAGAAGCATCTTATTTCCAGCATCAAGACCTAGCTATATCTGGCACAGAATTTCTAAAGCTTTTATACAGCACAAATGCTTCTTGGATCTCTCTTAAGGAGGAAAACAGTTGAAATGCCAGGCTCATAGTATACTGTAACTCCTGCAGCTAAGCATTTGGCCGGGGGCGGGAGGACCCTAACGCTTTGGTTGACCTTTTGTTACAGAAAAGTTAACTAGCCTTACACCTCACCATCACACCCCGCCACATTCCTTTAAATGGGGTTGTCATGTTAGTCCCATTAGAGTTAATGGAGCCTGCACAGCACTTGGTCAGCAAAGTCTAAAATGAACAGGTAGAAACAATAGCTCAGACTTAGGTCTTGTTTGCAGGAGGATGTATTCTCCTAATGCCAAAGTAGGGTACTTCCAGCTGTTAGCTTGTGTCTCTATTTATGGACTACCATGGCCTAACCCAACTTATTATAATATTAGGCCACAGTCATGCTAAAAACAGAAAGTTGTGATCCTTTTCCTGGGTGTTAGGAGGATGGGGTAGGAAATGAATAACAATATTGTCTCCATAGAAGGTGGAAGCCTGACTCCAGTGCGAGACAGTCCCTGCACACCAAAACTCCGTTCTGTCAGCTCCTATGGGAATATAAGAGCAGTCACGACAGTAAGGAATTTGAATAAGTCTCTGCAGAATCTCAGTTTGAATGAAGAATGTAAGTTTGCTTTTCAGGATTCTCTTACCATTTACTCTTTGAATGCATGTATGCAAAGCTTACTCATATGATTGCTTCCAACCACAGCAATAATTAACCGACTCAGTGCCTATAAAAGTTTGGATGGCATACCTAAGTGATGTGATACAGGATTAGATCCGGAAAACATGAGTGGAAGAGAATTCACAGAAGAGCACTTTCCTGCCTCCTCTCACTCTCCTCCCACTGCCGCCCCATGTTAAAGGCCAATTAAGAGGGTCAGGGAATCCTCCAAGGTTGGAAGAGGCATGGGAGGTGCTGAAAGGGGAAAGGGCAGTTCACATGATGCTTCCATGTAATTTGGGGTGATTTCCCCCTCCTCTAGAAATGCACCCATCGCATTGTAGAAGGTCCTCTGACCCTCAGGATTAGCTTTTTGCAAGTGCAAGATGGAAGAATAGCACAGTAAGCCCCCTTCTGCTTGCAATTTCCAGTGTACTCAGTTGTTTTTTTAAAGAGATATTAAACTAGCCTGTCTTTATATCTTGGGGTTGCTCTTCCCATAACTTGAGTAGTGGTTCCTAATTAGTGATGTACTACAGACACCCTGTTTTTCAAAAGCCAAGCCATGGACCTTTGAAAATGTTGACACCTCTGTGGTAGTTTTGGATATGTTATTGGTGCCACCATACCCTCCAGTGCAAAACAGGGACGTGCTCACTTGTGAGTCATGTGACCAATGCAAGAGCACAGCACCAAAAAGCACTTTTTTTGAGTGCTGTGCTCTTGCATGAGAGCACGGCCCCCCAAAATGGGATGTCCCAGACAGTTGGTGGGTATGTGTGATGGACCTCCTGGGTGGGCTATGTGGGCCCCCTGGGGTCTGCAGGCCACCAAGTGGGAATCACTGCTCTAGAGCAAGATTTTCCACAGCCGCTAATACCGACACCCTGTGGTTGATGCAATCATGCAGGAAATGAATGAAGACCTGGGGGTCAAGAAAAGGGCCTAGGAGTGAAAAAGACGTTTACAAGGCATAATGCCAAAAAATTAATTGAGAGCTATGAGCCTCAGAAATATAGGCATAGGCATTTACAGAGCACACCTCCCTTGCCAATGATGAATCTCTATATTTAATAAGATAATATTACAATACATCAATTTTATGGTCATGGTGATGGATAATTAAGAAATGTTAATCATATATTGATATTTCTTGACTTTATTTCATTTACATTCCTAAGAATTTGGGTTGGAGTCAATGACAACTTTATTAGCACATCGAGGGGTCAATGTACTCAGAAGTTTGGGGAATCCTGCTGTATACTGATACTCCAAGGAATACTGTCCTTGCTTGCACACTTGCTTCTCTCAATGTTTCCTTACTTATTCTTTGTCTTCAACAGCTGGGAGCTCTGTTGCCTTTTCCCCTGGGAACTTGAGCACCAGCAGCAGTGCCAGTAGCACCTTGGGCAGCCCTGAGAACGAAGAGTATATCCTGTCTTTTGAGACCATTGACAAGATGAGAAGAGTCAGCTCCTACTCTTCACTGAATTCACTGATAGGTGAGCCTGCACATTTCCAAGCTGCCTCATCTCTATTCTGCAGAGTATGGTAGGAAAGCTTTGACGAGTAGTTCTTTGTAATGGCACATAGGCTTTTAATGTGAGTGGACAGCAACCTGACAAAAGGAGATGGGAAATTTGTTTGAAGTTTTTTGTGTGTGGATGCAGAGCAATGACACAGCTGCATTTGTGTGTGAGTGTGCCAGCTTTTCGAAAGGGGATGATGCATTTTCCATTGTTAACAATCCCAGCAAAAGAACCAAATGGTGATTGGAATTTGCAGCTGCTTCCAGCATTCTTACCTAGAAAACTGGGTGTTTATATTTAGTTTTGATTCACTGCCTATGTAACACCTATGTTGGCTACAATATACTAGAGCAGAGCTTTCCAAATTGTGTGTCATGACACATTAGTGTTTTGGCTGCAGTGTGTAGGTGTGCCGCACAATGTGTGTCCGTATCTCTTAAAAGGGGTTAGTTTAACCTCCGGTTTGCTAGTAAAACTGAATTACCATGTTGCAAAATGATGCATGTCTAGGAAGTGTGTCACCAACATGAAAAGTTTGGAAAGCTCTGTACTAGAGAGTGGGGCTGACTGTTACTTCAGTTTCTGTTTCCCTGTTTTCTAGGGCTCATGGAGAACTCTATATGAAGCCAGTTGTGTTCATGTTTGTCTGCATCTGTGCATCAGTTACCGTATTTTTTGCACCACAACACTCACTTTTTTCCTCCTAGAAAGTAAGGGGAAATGTCTGTGCGTGTTATGGAGCGAATGCCTGCGGGTGGCGGGGGGGGGATCTGCTGCAGTCGTGAGCAGAGGATCCATGGTTCCCCTTCCTTCCCTCCTCCGTGGTTACAAAGCATGGATCCACATGGATCCTCAGGATTTTTGCATTGGGCTACTCCAAACTCACTGTCAGATCACATGTCTGTGGCCACAGCATGAACCACAAAAAACATATATCCACTATTTTGTTTAGAATATTTTTTTTCTTGTTTTCCTCCTCTAAAAACTACGTGCATGTTATGGTCTGGTGCGTGTTATAGAGCGAAAAATACGGTATCTAAGTGATCCATGGAGCTTGTGCAAAGATGAGCGGGGAGTGGGATGGAGACAGAATTCTTGTACCTTGCTTTCTTATTTTTCCTCCACTACCATTACAACCTTCCCTCTTACACCCACCCCACTTCATTTCCAGTCTTTGCCTGGGCAGGACAGGAAAGCACCCAGTTAGAACTACTGCTCCTTTTGCATCATAATGGACGTGGTTAACTCATGTGCCACAGACATTTCCTCCATACTTAGCTCCTGTGTTTATGTGGAGGTGAAAAGGGGGAAATAGGTCAAACCACCCAGATAAGGAAATAAAAGTGCTACTGGCTTGGCTCTGCATATAGAAAGACCTAGCTCCAGTACCTGGCACCTCCTGTTACAAGGCTGAGTTGTAAAACTTGAGGCCTTGGGAAACCATGGGCTAGATGGGCAAACAGTCTGACCCAGGTGTAAGGCAGTTTTCCATGTCTGTTTTCTTATAAGAGTAGCATGGCAGGATTACAGTGCTTTGGTTCCTGTAGGGTTGTTTGTTTGTTGTAGCTAAATTACTCAGGCTTGTTATGTTAATCATCCCAGTCCCAAGACTAAAGTAATGTAGATTTTTGAGGAAGAGTGAATTGGTCGGATATTAAACTCACACAGACCGTACCAGAGTATGAAGCACAATATTGCTCCTAGACTATGATTCTAACTAATCATCGATCACATTGAGATGATGACAAATGGTCACACAGCCATTGAAATTTGGCTACATGATAACATTGCAAAGCCAAGTAAGCAAGGACAGGAAATATTTCCATTGCCTTTGTGCTTATTTGGAGCCCTGGCTGCTGAAAAGGCATAGTTTTTGAAGGGGATAAGAGTTTCTTCAAAAAGTGCCACCCCCCCACTTTAGCTCAGCCCTGTAAAATGGCCCACTGTCTCAGTTCCTGTGGGTATTTCTCCATAGTCTTCTGCTAATGTAAAGAGGTGCATATTTAGTTATTTACATGTGTCTTAAAAGAGTTTTAGAGCATAGCTGAAAAACATAGCCTAGGAATGAGATGAGTGAGAGCATCTTGAAGCACAAAAGCAGCTCTCTAGTGCCTTCCTCATTCATATTCAGACAGGAACAGCTCATATCCAGCTGTAAACGACATAGCTTATGGAAGTGTTTAAAATTCATAACTTACACGGAATCCCATTACTTTCAGCACTTACCTCTTTAAGGCCAGGGTTTTTCTTCTTCCTCCATGATTTCTTTTTTCTCCTCCTTCCTTTTTCAAATGCATCTTCCAGCCTTGCCTCTGCTGCATCCTAAAGGAATTGGTAAAAAAAAAAAAGGAAACCTGAACTTGGTCCATAGGTTTGCGCTTGAGTTGACCTGAATGGCAGATTATGTAAACTTTCGGAATCTTGTCAACTCCAACCCATTCTCTCCTGTTTAAATTTCTTCTCAATTACACTGGGCAGGAGGGGGATAACTTGTTCAGGACCAAAGGCCACAATAAGAATTTCATGAGCTAGATAGACTCAGACCACTTACACATAACTGACACTAACATTGTAAGATTATTATGGATTTCTAGGCAATGAAAAGTTGCACTTTCTGTGTGACACCATTTGCGTAGTTGGCAGTGTACTGTTCAGGGTAGACAATGAGCTCATTCTGGGTGATGAACAAGGTCTAGAGGAGACTGGCTTAGGATATGAGGCAGTATTGAGAAGCAAGAAGCAAGCATAGACTCCTGGGTATCTGTGGCTGGATCAGATTGTTCACAGTACCCAATAGCTCCCTAGGCAAACTCCCAGGGAAGAGGGATGTTGTCTAACAAGAGTCTTAGTCCATCCAAATAGGCCCAACCTCCAACCTCTTAACGGAGGGCAAGTAACTTGGAGCATGGCACTCCATTGTTGTCAAGTGGGCTTCCAGGTGTGTTATCTCTGCTGAGAGCCTTAATGGAAGTGAAGGTTATGGGTGGTTGGTGTGGTGATGGAGTTTTGGATCCTTTCTTGAGATGGGCCAGTGTTTGACTCTGTATAGGGCACCTTCATGGATTCAGTTAGCTTTTTTTAGCTCATGGCAAGTAGCTGACTAGCCTAGACTAATTCTCAGGTCAGCCATAGAGTCCCTTCATCATATGAAGAGTGGGGAAAGGCAATATTGAACAAGTAATAATTTATGCATAGAGAGGGGCAGGATGGAGATAAAAGCATGTGAGGAATGGCTCCATAGCTCCATGGTAAAGCACATGGTTTGCATGCATCTGTTCTCAGGTTTCTTCCTTGGCATCTCCGGTTCAAAGGATCTCAGGCAACAAGACTGAGAAAGCCCTCTACCTGAAACCTCAGTGAACCATTGCCATGCAAAGTAGACAATACTGGGTTAGACAGAGCAATAGTCTTCTAACTCCATATAAGGCAGTTTTATATACCGTATTTTTTGCTCTATAAGACTCACTTTTTCCCTCCTTAAAAGTAAGGGAAAATGTGTGTGCGTCTTATGGAGCGAATGCAGGCTGCGCAGCTATCCCAGAAGCCAGAACAGCAAGAGGGATTGCTGCTTTCACTGCGCAGCGATCCCTCTTGCTGTTCTGGCTTCTGAGATGCAGAAATTTTTTTTTTCTTGTTTTCCTCCTCCAAAAACTAGGTGCGTCTTGTGGTTTGGTGCGTCTTATAGAGCGAAAAATACAGTATTCAAAGCCTTTTGATGATTTCGTGCATGGGGCCTTTTCTCTCAGTTGCAATCTGTTTATTATCATTTCTTAATATGCACCTTTTGTTATGCTGCTAAATGTGAAATTTATTGTTATTTCATAGCAGTTGGTGGGGTGGGGTGAATCCAACCCTCCTGACCCTGACATCACAGCTGAAGGCTGCAATGAATTAGAAGTTCGCAACAGTCTGCTGTAAAATAAATATCCTTAGTATTAAATAATTCTGAGCCCAGGAACTTATTTAGAGCTCCAGAACTGAACTGAGAACACAATAAATATACACAGAAATCAATTTTGGTTACACCCACACCCACCCACCTACACCCCTTTCCAGCTTTCTTCATTCTTTCAACATAGTTTAAGGGCAAGGAGTCAATTTGTTGTCATCTTTGTAAAACAGCTGGGGGTCAGAAATCTGTGTTGATCTACTTCAGATCACACAGTGATCTACCATTAGATCCTGATCTGTCTTCTGCTCACCGTGTTCTAGTACAATAGGCATAAATTCGCTTCTCCTCTGCAAATGCATGCATTTTAACAATCCTCTCCCCCACCCCACTTCCAGTCTATGTGAGGCCATAGCACTCCCATAAGTGGGTCAGGCTGAGGCATTTTGCTTCTCTAGAACACTGCAACTCCACCAAATTTTGTGCTTAGGTCTACCTTTTGCTACATATCCAAATGATATCTGAATCCCATTTTTAGCCCTTTCTCATCTTGAACATACTGTATTTGTGCTTTTATGCTAATGCAATTATCCAAGCAAAATGTGGTTTGCCTTGGAAATGAGTTTTCTGAAACCTCCAGGATCCATCAAGCCTGGGGTTTGCCTGATTTGATGGGGAAACGGGAGTTATAAGCAGTGTACTTAGGAATCCACCTATACATAATGCTATTTACAGAATAATGTAACTGTTCAGGGAGTGAAGTTATGGTCTTTGTAGGGCTAGGATGAGAAAAGGTAAAACATGAGATGCAAAGGAGAGGAAACCTTTATTACATTTTATTATTATTACATTTATATCTTGCTGTTCTTCCAGCAAGCTCAAGTCAGTATCCACTGTCCAGTTTCCTTCCTCTGCTATTTAACCTCACACAACATTCCATTAAAGGTTTATAACACTAAGAGAGAGTGACTTACCCAGGGAGCTTTATGGCTGTGCAGAGATTTTAATTCTGGTCTCCCTGGTCCTAGTGTGGCACTTTAGCAACTACAGCACACTGGTTAGGCTTAAGAAAAAGTGGGAAACC